TACCAAATGATTTCACTCATATGTGGAGTATAAGAACAAAAGAAAACTGAAGGAACAAAACAGCAGCAGAAGCACAGAACCCTAGAATGGACTAACAGTTACCAAAGGGAAAGGGTCTGGGGAGGAAGGGTGGGAAGGGAGGGATAAGGGCGGGAAAAAAGAAAGGGGGCATTACGATTAACATGTATAGTGTGGGGGGGGCACAGGGAAGGCTGTGCAACACAGAGAAGACAAGTAGTGATCTTACAGCATCTTACTATGCTGATGGACAGTGACTGTGAACGGGTATGTGGGGGGGACTTGGTGAGGGGGGGGGAGCCTAGTGAACATAATGTCCTTCATGTAATTGTAGATTAATGTTACCAAAATAAAATTTAAGAAGAAAAGTGTTGTGATTAACAAAGCTAATTATGGAATATTAACATAGTTTATGTAAAAGGTGCTACATAAATCTAAGATGCTCCAGCAGTTTTAATGAGAAGGTCATATTACCCATATTCTCATTTTGGACTGTGGAACATCAAAATTAAGTGACAACCTTTTATATTCCACAGTGGTCATATTAAAAACTATATGAAATTTATCATACATAAACCAGTCCTGACATGAAGCATAGAAAAGGATAATATATTTAGTTTATTTAACTGGCCTTTGAAAATCTTTGCCAAAAATGATAAAGAAACTAAGAAACTAAGTTACCCTGTTATTATTGACTATATTGATAATGAACAAATAGTATCAAAACTCAAAATTAATATTCTACATACCTCATATATCCAGGGTCAATAGAAAAAAATTGATATACATTTGAGAGCTATGATATTGTAAATAAATGCCTTCTGAAAATATACTGTTAAATGTATATTACAATCACATGTTATTCTTTCCTTAATAACTCAAGAGTCATCATTATGAACAATGTATCATAATTTGCTATTATATAGGAAAGTTCTCAGGGGCTGGTAAGGTGATTTGTCCCTCTGTTAAATGGCCCCTAAATATCTTTTTGACATCTCTTAACTACACATTTTTCCTATTTTCTACCTCTATCCTCATGGATATTTGAAGCACACTGCTATCATATATCTAAGTCTGACAGTTCTCCTTTCATTTGTAATTTACTGTGACCATAATAAAAAATTTAAAACTTCTGAGGAAAGATATGAACTTTAGTGCTTAGAATTTGTGACATCTGCTTTTATCTACACAGAGGAATTTGGTGTATAATATTCTGTTCTGTCTGGACAAGATTACTCGATAAAGGAGTTACTACTCTAAAAAACTTAAGCTGCATTGCTGGAGCTAAATAAATACCAAGTCATTTAATAATTAACCCTAAACATTAAAAAGAAAAAACGTTTAAGTATGTAAAAATTAAATAAGATGTGGTACTTTTGGATCTTCATAACTTTGTTCCAGGGAGATGCCGCAAGACAGAAGAAGAATTTTATAGCTCTGAATGAAGTCATAGACGATAACAGAACGTTCTTTATCAGATTCCTTTTGCAAGCAGGATTGAAGGTGCCAAATTCTGTCTTTCACGGTCAGGTTTGGATCCAGAGAAGGTGGGACCAAACTGGCACTAATTTCTTAGGGGAAAAAAAAAAATCTTAAGGCAAAGATTACATGCACTTATTTGAAGCTCAAATCTTTACTGCAAAGACTGAAAAAGACTCAGAAGTCATTCCACGTAACCAATCATTTGGTCATGCTGGTTATATAGATGTATTTCATAATCTAAAAATTATGGTTTGGGCTAAGCGATTTAGAATGGTCTTATTTAATTAGGTAGGAGAAAATTCTAAATATCAAGATTTCCAAAAAACCTTAATGATTACATTTCTCAAAATGAGGAGTTAAAGACAGAAAATGTATTTTGAAACAAATTTTAAATGAACTCCTTTAAAGTGAAATTTAGTATGAACATATAATGTTACATCTGAAAAAAAAGGCAGACGTTCAAGTATCTAACTCACCCTAACATATTTTCCTGAAAAACAACTGAAAACATTTCATGCTTACCCAGAGAGATTATATGACATTTTTTTAAATGATTGCTTTAATAATTTCCCTCCTGTCTAAAACTAGTCAGCTAGGTGTCCAACAATCATAATCAGATCACAGGGTATTTCCAGATGACATCATTTCATTTCCAAAGGCCATGTGATCCAACTACTGTAGATATCTACCTCATCACTGCCTCTAGATAAGTTCCAAATGCAATGAGGAGGAGGAAAAAATTTTGAAGAGAAACTGCTATGATCCAGTCTTTAACAGCAAACCCTCAAGGTGGCCAGGGAACCCCAAAGGTTCCACCACCCCCAAGAAGAAAATGTAGTATTATAGCCCCTTGTGACAAGCAGAGGGGAGAAGGGCAGTGCTTCTTAAAACATTCATTCTTGATAATATGTGAAATAATGTACACACTAGCTGCTATCCCTTCCCCCCCAAAATACTTTTAATATTAAAAATAAATTCCAGGTAAATATCAGGAAATTTTTCTCAACAAGTAAGTCACTATCCTAATAGAGATGATACTAAAATTATATGGTGACTTAGCCACATAGTGATTACTTACCAGAATGCTTTTGTTCCTTCTGCAATGAAAAATAATAGGCATCTCTTCCACCCCAGCATATTGCCAGCCCAACCACCAAGATGTCATCACAACCCTTAACAGGAAATCCATCATCTCCAATAGGAGTTCCCTGAGGTGAATTAACTAAGTAAATAAAAAATGAAATAGTTAAAAATCTCTAAAAATAAAGCCATTAAACTGGACATTAAAACAATGATAACAATAAAAACCTATTTGACAGGCAAAATTCCCAGATCTCTAAAATGTTCATTATTTGGATGGTCATTTTTAGGTGAATGTAAGATCTTTCTAGGTCCCCCATTAATTAAGGTAACTGTCACTTTGAAAAATCTACCAAATATTTCTTCAAATAGATATATAATAATGACTAAAAATGGGTATTAACTTAATTTTCCAAACCTGCACTTTGCATTTGTATAACTCAAATAGAAATGAAAATGATTTGCACACTACAAAATTCTATAACCAACTCAACAATTTCTAACATTAAGAAACATCAGAAAACTTCTGAGTCTTACTTCTTAGTGAAGAATTGGGTTTGATTTTATATTTGGAGTCAACGTGTTTTCTAAAATAACACACCTCCAATTTTACAAAGACAGGTCAAGAAACAATGTATCTTATTTATAATTATATCCTCAATAACCAACATATTTGTTTACTTCAGGTGAACAATTTTATCCCTCATACCTCTAGAACACAAAATGTGCTCAATTTTATATTTGTTGAATGAAAAATGGAAAAGTACTAGTCAACAAAGTACATAAAACTTGTCATTAACACATGTGCTCCATGAACTGTAGATCAAATACTTAAATCCTTATGAACAAATACATTCATAAATAGAGATTTAAGAAATAAGATTGAATCTTTGATTTCCATGTCAAGCTGATTACAGTATTCCCCATGACCCAAAATCTTTACTGGCATGAAGTAAGACGGAATACACATAGCATTATTTTACCAAAATGTTCAACTCTCTCAAAAGAATTCTGTGAAGAGTTCTGTGAGGCTCTGGGATCAGTATTTCAGAACAGAATTCATGACTCTCAGTGAAGGTACAAGTTCTACTTGAGATAAATACTAGAAAATGTAGCTAGTGAACATTGTGAAAAATATAGTACCTATTTGCTATGCACTTTAGTGATTATATAAATGATTAAAGATTCACAATTTAATAGAAAACAATTTACGAGCATTGATGATTAATAAAAACCACCCCATTGTACCATTAGGATACCAAAAGTGATGCATATACAAAGGATATACCTTAATTTTTATACTTACATCCTAGTATTTTTATATATATGTTAATATAATATATATAACTATTATATATATATGTGTGTGTGTGTGTGTGTGTGTGTGTGTGTACACACACACACTTTTTTAAAGAGAAGTGTTGTGTTTAATGGTAAAGTTTAGCACACTTGAACACCAGGCACAGCCTGGAGTTGAAGCAGCAGGGCAAACAGATGCCCTCCGTGAAGCCCCACAAAGTGAAGAGGATGAGGAAGGCAACCATCAGTCAGAAGAGCTCCATGGCCTGGCCAGGACCAAACCCAGAAAGGCACAGGAGCAAGAGCTGCTATGAGAGAGAGGTTCCTGGCATACACAGTGATCAAGCTGCCAAGCACTGTTCCAATGCTGGCTCTGAACCAGCCACACCAATTTTGGTGGTCTCAGCAGCAATAAGGCTGGCCATTGTGTCAATGTGTTCGGAGACAAGACTAGTCCGAACTCCCTTCAGGCTATCTAAAGTAGGGAGCTGCCACCCGAAGGCTGTTCAGTTGGGATCTCTGCCTGCTCAGAAGGAGGCAGACGCAGACCTAACACCCCAGGTACAATAGTGGATCAGAGCCAGAGGAATGAGGAGTACCTGGGTGGTCTGCATTTGTTCAGTCTCCCAGCTTAAGCTCTTGGCCTCAGCGCTCAGCTCTACCACCCACATGTCCTGGGGTTGCCCATCTCTTATATCATACAGCAATTTAAATCAATTGTGCGGAACAACAAGACTTTTCTACATGTAAACCTACCTAGGAGAAACTTCTTAAACTTTTAATAAATGTATATTTAATATACAATACTGAAAAGACTCATTCCCCTCTCAGTCCATTATTTTATGTATAAATGTGAAAAAAATTGTAAAAACTCTTACCTTTCTTAAACCTACTACCAATAGTAGCACTTTTAGAAGATGTCAAGTTACTGATCTTTTCACAAGCCAGTGAGATGGAAAATCGCTTTTTGCACTGCCATTCCTTAATGAATGTTTGAAAGAGAGCTTGGTTACTTGCTACATCAATTATGGCCAAACTTTCTGAACTGAATGAGACTGGAGGTATCTGTGATCCATCCTGTGATAACTGCAGTGAAAAACTTGTGTCTCTAATAGGACTGCTGTCCTTTAAACCATTTCTACCCTCTGGATTTAAATCATTGTTTTTAATATCCAAAGATGAGCCAAGTGAGTAACTTTCATCAAGCTGTAAAACACTACTAGTTTTCTGAAATTTTGTGGAAGATGTTCCAAGAATACTTGGAAATGCCATCTTAGAAGCAGCTGCTGGAGTGGGTGTAGGAGGAATGAGTTCATTGTCATCAACTATACAACTTTCTTTATATGGCAAGACAGATGATTTTTCATTATGAAAGGTATTGTTCTCTAGTGCCTCAATCTTCCTTTTTTTAACTTCAGTATCAGGGGAAAATGAAATTCCCTGCACTTGATTTGACTCCAAATTTGAAATAACTTTTTGTTTGTCATTTAACTCTGTATATTTTTCTTTCAAACAAGACAAGTTTATAGTGGTTAATTTTTGTTTTTTACTTTCTAGAGGACTGGACACTTTATCTAAAATCCTTTGCAGTCCTGGACTTAATTCAAATGATGCCCCTGACCATAAGAATGATTTATTTTGCTTTGTCCCAGTTAATTTGGATTTTTGAGACTTTTCATCTTTATCTCCTCCAATTAATTCTCTTTTGGGATAAGCATTACCTACAATCAACGGATCACTTAGTTCTAATGCTGTAACAGATTCTGCAAGATTATGTTTCTCTTGGACAGGAAATACATCTACATTGTCCAAAGCTTCAACCATCTGAGAAGAATCCATTTCTGAAAATATAATAGACTCATCACTGCAAAAAGTCAGCTGCTGCTGATTATCTTGATTTTCACTCATATTTGATTTTTTGATTGGGCTCTCTGGTTGTAGACACACAGAATTGCTGAAATGGTCTGACATTTCAGAAGAAAGGGGTTCTTTCATGTGTACACTGGGTGGTTGTTCTTTTACTAGGTAGTCGTCACTGAGACTGTCAAATAGTAAACTATCACTCAAATTTAAAGTTGTTTCAGGAACTGGCAGACATTCTACTTCTATATCAGTGGGAGTTCTCATTTGAGGAACCAGAGCTATAAATGGTTTCACAGTTTCTTGTGTTTGATAACCTTGAAGAAAACTATTTAACTGGGAGTCAGTAACAGAAAGTTCATTCCCTTTAAAACAAGGGCCACTTTCCCCCAGTAGTATTGGAGAAAGAAAAACTGGACTTTGTAGAGTCAGGATATCAACCCCATGTGAATAAGTGCTTTGTTTCAAAGTACCCACAGTCTTAAGTTCCAAATGATCTGTATTTGTCACTCCTGGAGAATGCTGTTCACCAGGAAAAGCAATGTGAATATCATTCTGCAAAGAGCTCTGCTTGTGTAAGTTCTTCTGCATCATCCCTGTTGCCAGGTTGCTGTCCTTTGCTTCTTGTTTGGTATTTTCAATTGCCATCTGTTGTATCATTTTCTCTGATTGAGTATCCAGGTATAAGCTGTCTTCAAAGTCACAGGCTCTAGTTAAGCCTAAGCCAGAAACATGATTTTTTTTAGTTTTGTTTGCTGCATAAGCTGTTCTTTCTTGTATTCCAGAGATATTTAGAAAATTCTTGTGCTGGTCTCCTGAGTTCGCAAATGCTCCAGTTGGTAGATGTACTCCACTGAGTATCTCAGTGCTGCTTACATTATCTCCTGATACCTGAAGATTATTTAATTTATTTTCCTTAGCATAAAACTTTGTATTTTCACTTTTGATAGTAACATTTGAGTCTCCATTCACATAACTACTGACTGTCTCACTGGGTATTTGTCTCTCTATTACTTTTTTCTGTTTGGTATAAGTATTTGTGTGTTTATCAGACTGCTTTTCCAGGCACTGGTTAATTGGATGGGTGTCCTGGTGTTTCATATAAACAGTCTGGCTTTTTGAATCATTTTGTATCAGCACTTTGTTCAGTTTTTCTGACTCAACAAGAGCTAATCCTCCCTCATTTTCACCAACCAGACTAGTGAGTTGACAAGTCACTTTTTCACACTGGGATCCTGTGATAAAATGTTCCACAAGAATATCACTAGATTTTGTTTTGTTCCTTGAATTATTTTGTCTTGCTTGCGATGGGAATGATGCTTTGTTATATTTCCCCTCAACACAGAAAGATACATTTTTTTTAGCAAATGGCCCTGGACTTCTAAATTCCATATTCTTCTCATCTAAGGTAAATGAGTCTTCACAATGAACAGTATTACACATAGTCTGTTCTTGTAGCTCAGTTCTAAACATCCCAGTGTTTTTCACAGGGCTACTGTCTCTGGGTCGTTTTAGATGCTTAGTATGTTTCCAAGATCGAAAAGTTGTACTCTTCTTTTCTGAACTGAACGTCAAAGCTTTTTTTGTTTTCTCAAATGAGAAAGTATGAACAACTTTCTTAGTGCTTGCTTTTCTCTCATTCAAAGAAGTTCCTAGCCTCTCTTTATTGATACTCAAAGAAGCCCATTTTCTTGCTCTGGAAGTGGACTGTACCTGCCATTCTTGATTCCCATCCTGAAACTTACAATCAAAGGAATTTGTATGCTGTTGGCTTTTATCTGTATCTTGCACTGTATTTGGTAAATGATTAACAGAACAGTCACTAAATATTGTGTTATTTTTCTTCTTTGATGTTAATCTTTTACAAGAACTCTTAGTTTGGGATATAAATTTGTGTTCCTTTACTTCTGACTCACTGCTGGTCAATGAGGGTGTATCAGAATTTAAAAGTGGATATGGACTCCACTGCACTCCCAATTCAACTAAGTCCTGCTGCAGAATCATCCTGGCTTCTTCCACTATAAGGGCTGCTGCTTCCCTTTCAGTTAAACCTTTTCTGCCAGTCACCCAAATAGTTCGCACATTGCGACGTTCTTCAGCTGCTTCCTCTTCCTCATCCACTGCTTTTCGGGCACTATATAAGAATACAGGAAAAGAAATAAATTAATGTATTGATTCATTAATTTACACAACAAATACGTATTAAACATCAGTCTGAGCTGTTCTAGAAACTAGAAATAGCACTGATATAGGAGGGAAATATATCTGCTCTCATAGAGCACACATGTAGTTGAGGAAATCAGAAAACAAATAAATGTTAAAATGCATTCTGTATCAACTGGTGATAAGAGCTATGTACAAAAATGAAGCACAGGAAGGGATGGGTGGTTCTGCAATTTTTAAACAGCATTTTAAAGAAAGACATCTCTAAGCTTCTTTAAGTGGAAACCTAAAAAAGGGAGTATCATAAAACTTTCACTGCAAGTCCTCCTATATAATGTGAGCTCTGGACATAATTGAAAGAACTGGAGAGTGGCCAAAAGAAAGCAGAAACTAGAAAGAGACTGAGACTAGAAGAAAGAAATGGCGGCAGGTGAATTTCAGTGTTCTCACCTGAAGGCAGGCCCCAGTCGGCACCAAAAAGAGTAACTAAAAACTTAGATAAAAACCTTGAGTTTATTGACTGACAGAATTTGAAAAACAGCTCAGAGTAACTATGGGAGATAAGAAATGAAGGAAGAAAGCTCAGAAATGAGAAATCCAGAGAAGGAGAACCCCAAATTCTTCATATAAACTCTGCCCAAATATCTGCTTGACATCTAAATTATGTAAGCATGGGCAGACTCCAAGCCACCAGTTTAAAGTCTAAAAAACCAAACAGAGATTTGAGTTACTGCCCACTACAGAAAGACAAAGTTTACAGTTTGAGTTCAGCCAACCTAACTAACTGATAAATTATCAATGCTCTTCAGGGTAAAATAATAGATTCTATACCCTAAAAGTAAAGCATATATGTAACTGAAGTACCATGAGGAGAACAGTGACAGGATGAGGCATAAAAATTACAGAAGAAATAATGGCCAAGAGACTTCTGTTTCCAACCAACATGGAAACAACCAGAAATCCAAGGCTAAGTTAAAAAAGACACTGTAGCTTCCACTTTACTCTCTTTTGGATCCCTCACATGAGAGGAAGCCAACCATCATGGCATGAGAACATCAAGCAGCTCCACATAGAAACTCCTGTGATGAAATAAGCACCAACTTGCCAGCACGTGCGTCAATCATTTTAAAAGTAGATTCAAGCCAACTCTTCCACCTGACAACTTTACTATGGCTTCACGAAAGAACTCAAACCAGAACCATCCACAAAGGTTTGACTCGCAGAAACTTTGAGTTACATATTTATTGTTGCTTTCAAAGCCACTAAGTTCTTAAGTAATTTGTTATAGCTGACTAATTAGCTTAGTGAAACTCGCAAACTGAAAAGAAATCTAGAAACCTACACATTTAATAGGACAAAAGAATTGTATTCCCTTCATAATTCAAACATACAAAGCAAAGAAAGAGTATTTTTGAAAAACTCAATAAAAGAAAGTGTAGACCAAGGATTTATACTCAGCCAAGATGTGTTTCAAATATTAAGGTTATAGAAAAACAGCTTTAGATATACAAGAATTTGAGGAAGTCTTTACTATACAAGCCCTCTTTGAGGAATCTACTAGAGAATAAGTTTCATCCAATCAAGACTAGGAATACTTCAACAAAAAGACTGATGGTAAGAATTTTAATAAATAACAATGTAGATGATATGGATCTTCCATCCCTGCCCCTAAAGGGTGGGGGAAAATGGTGGGAAATTAATGTACAAATGTTATACATTGAGACAGTATAAATTCATAGTATTAAAAATTAAAAACACATAAAACTTAATTTATCAATAGAAATAAAAATATAAAAGTCAACAAATTAAATTTCTAGTTCAACAAAAACTAGAAAAAGAGCAACAAAGTAAAACAAAAGCAAGCAGTAGGAAGTAAATTAAAAGAAGGAATTAATGAGGTAGCTTTTTTAAGTAGATCTAACTAATAAAAAAAAACCTAGTTTTCATTTACAAAATAGACAAAAACTCTAGCTAACCCGATCATGAAAAAAATAGAAAGCAGAAATTTACAAGATAAGAAACAAGGGAGGAATAGTCATTAAAATAGAAGAAACACTTAAAATTCCTAAGAGACTAATTTACAGATCTCTGAGAAACCAGATGAAATAGGTAATTTCCTAGGGAAATACAGATTATAGAAATTAACCCCATTAGAGACAGAATACCGAGAGAGATTATTTTCTGAAAAAATAAAATAGAGAAAGTGATGGGGGAACTAAGACCATCTGAGATAGTCTCATAGAGCAATCATACCAAACCTTCGACTACTCCCAAGACTCCATAAATTATTGCAAAGCACTGAAAATGAAGAAAAACTTCCTAATTCTTTTTCATGAAGCAAGTCTAATACCAAGCACAATTCCAAAACTTAAAGATAGTGCAAAACACACACACTCACAAAACTATAGACCAATATTATTTATAAATAAGAGTGCAAAAGTATGCTATGTTACATATTAGCAAACAGAATCCAAAATCATATAAAAAAATACAATGACCAAATGAAATTTATTCCAGAACATAAGATTGATTCAACTTTAGGAAACCTATTAATACACCATGCTAATAGATATTGGGGGGAAACTCCATGATTATCTCCATAGATGCTGAAAAAGCCTTTGACAAAATTCAATGCCCAGTGGTGATAAAAAAATATTCAAGAAAATTGCAACTAATGGACAGTTTGTCAAAATGATAAAATATGTATTATAAAATATATGTATACACCAGAATCCTGAAGCCAGTATCTTACTAGGGTAACACCAGAGGCATTTATTTCTATTGAGATCACAAAGAAAGCTAGAATGCCCATCATCTCTATTCCTATTATCTCTATTACCACTACCTATTAGAGGTATAAGCTAATTCAATTAGACAAAAGAAATCAATTAGAAGCAGAAGAAATTTTAAGGAAGAAGTAAAACATCTATTTGCAGATATATGACAATATGCCAGGTAAGTCCTAGAGAATCAGTAATAAATGTTAATTCAAACAATAAGAGAATTCAGAAAACAGGATTAAAAACATACAAAAATCAATAGCTTTCATATATTCAAATGGTATTCATGTAGAAAGCATCATAGAAGAGAGATATCAATAAAATAACAGTAAAGATGAAACAGGAATACATTTAACAAGAAATATACAAAACCTGTAGGAGGAAAGTTTAAATTCTTAAAAACCTATATGAGAAATCTTTTTAGAACTCCCAAAAACCACAAAGACTAGATCAATGCAAAGATATTATCTATCCTTAGATAGGCTAACTCAACATTATAAAGATGTCAATTTTAAATTAAATTTCAATCCAATCCAAATAAAATACCATCAAGCACTTTAAATTTCACATGTGCAAACATGCAAGAATAGCCAGGAAAATACTGAACAACTATGAGTACAAAACTGCCCTACCATAATTAAAAACATACTGTAAGGCCTTTAAGAGCATGGTAACTGATCATCAATTGAAAAAAAGAATAGCAAATAAAGTACCTAGTCCAGAAATAGACATAATAATATATGAATATTTAGGATATGATAAAGGTGGCATTTCAAATCATTGGAACAAAGTAAACCTTTTAATAAAAGAGAGCCATAGAGAAAAAGATAAAATTAGATCCAAACAGCATACCACACACAAAATTAAATTCTAAATGCACCAGGAATCTAAATGTAAACTTGGAAATACTGGAAGAAAACATGCAAATTCCTCTCTCAAAGTAGGGAAAATCTTTTTAATTATGATAACTCAGAAGCAAAAAAAGAAAAAGACTGATAAAAAATCAATAGAAAATAAAAATTCTTCAAGGCAAAAATATAATAAAAGTCAAAAGACAATTGATAGATTCTGAGAAAACATTTGCAATATACATATCAAATAAAGGACTAAGAACCCTAATAAATTGTTAAAAGAAAAGATTATTTTAAAAGGAAAGGGAAATGACGAAAACCCAGTAGAAACTTAAGGAAAAGGTATAACCAGATATTAAAAAATGGTCCTGGAACATATGAAAAAATATTCACCATCACTAGCAATTATAGAAATTCACATTAAAACCATACTGAGATACAATTTCTCAACTATCAGACTGGCAAAATGAAAACCTAACAATGGATTCTGTTGGTGAGCCTGTGGGATAATAGGCTAGTTAGAATGCATCTTAGTACAACCCTTCTGCAGGACAATTCGGAATCTAATAAAGCTATGCATACCCTTACCTTTTGAAATCCCATGTCTAGGAATTTACTCTGAAGAAACATCACCAACAATATGAAAATGCATGTGCACAAGGTAAATTCACTGGACTTTGTTGGTAATGGCAAAGTGTTTAAAACAGTACTAGCTAGGTTTTCTGGTCTTATGCACCAAGTACTAAAACGAAAGTGTGGTCAGGAGCCAGATACACCAGTTTCCATTCAGAAAATTAACATTAATATAATACTGTATTTAATCTATATACCTTATTCAACTTTCACCAATTGTTCCACTTATGTGTTTTTTCTAATCCAATCTAGCATAAAGTGGTACATTTAGTTGTCAAATCTCTTTATCTTCCTTTAATTAGAAACAGCTCCTCAGGCTTTATTTTCCATGACCTTGATATTTTTGAAGAGTACTAGCTAGATATTTTGTAGAATGTCTCCCAGTTTAGGTCTCTCTGATGTTTCCTTATGATTAAATTCATGTTAGACATTTTTTATAAGAATACTCCAGGAGTAATGTTGTCTTTCCTCAGTGTGTCACATGAAGAGACACATGATACTGATTTGTCCTAATACTGATGTCACTTAAATTTTGATCAATAAAGCTCTGAGCTTTCAGAAGAGGCATAATGTTCATCGTAACATACTTAGCATTATACAGAAATAATTCTAAAATGTGTTAACAACCTTTTTTCCAATCAAAAATTTTAAATGCATACTGCCTTCAAATGACTCCCTGTTAGGGTTAAACATGATGCATGCAGTATGTTGTTACCACACAGATACTCCCATACCCGAATTTTTTCACCTCAGGAACTATCAGTAGGCACTTATGAGCAAATATGAATATATCCAAAGATTCTGTGAATTCAGAGGTTCCAGAGGAGATCAATGTCTTTTTAAGAAATTTTAAGGCATACTCTACAGAACCCATTCAGAGGCCCAGCTCAAGTGACAAAATTGCACACCAGTTGTCCTTTTGGTCTGGATCTTGGGTGTTGCCCCACCCCACAGCTCCACTGGGCACTGCCTTACTGGAGATTTTGCAGTGTTCCCCTACCCCACTGCAGTAGTTCTCAGCCTGGGTTCCAGGTCCAAGGCTCCAGGAAGCTGCATCCTTCAAAATCTAAGCAGAGTAGCTATGCCCCCATATGCTAGGTGCAGTGCATGCTACACCAGGGCCCACCAGAGCCATACCTAGGGCAGCCCCCAACTGTAAGAAGCAGAGCCCACAATGTGATTTGGCACTGGGCAGCAAGGCTGCTCCTTTGACAATGCCTCCATTCCTTTCCATACATACTACAAGTTTCATAGCCTGTCAGGCTTAAACTGAGTTGGAGGGAAAAAGCATCAGGAAATGAGACAGATGCTTTAATTTAGAACAAATTTTTAATACCTGAAAAATAAAACTATGTGCGTCAAAGTGCCTAACTAGCTATAGGATCTGGCTGAGATTTCATATAAAAGTGAGTTCAAAGAACAGTGGATGAGAAAATAATTAAGCTATTCCTTCATTATATGCTGAGTCCAGCACATTCAAAGAATTGGTTATACACATACACACAATAACCAAGGAATCCTCTTCTTACAAATTGAGGGTCTAGTGTTTCAAAGAATGTTCAACAAGAGTATATTTTCAAATGTTCTTGCCTAAACAAAGTCTAAGATGGGCCCTGCATATATATTGAAAATGAAAATCCATCAAAGTAGATAACATTGGTAACTTACCTTTACTCAGTCTTTCTAGGAGAAAATGATAATACTTTCAGGAATATTTCTTAAATCATGATATATTTTTAAAATATACAAAATAAAAGTAATCCTAAAAGAGGAAAAACATTTCTTCTTCTACACCAAGTATACCCTGATACTATCTAAGAGAAAAACATTTTAATGTACTATTATTTACAAATTGACATGATTTTTCACTTAATAACCCTATATAGGCAAGGAGATTTTCTCACCTTTTAAAAGGCACAGCATTTTTCAGAGCAGTCTCCACCTCAGCAATATTTGCTCTGGCAAGATCTGCAACAGTTAGAAAGCCAAAAGCATAGAGGGACCTGGCTCGCTGTGCATTAAGTAAGGACACACGGACCAGGTCACAGAGCTCCCTCTGAATGCCAAATGTAAGACGCTTTTGAAACTGGGAAAGTAGTAGTTCCATGTTGTGCCAGCCCAGACGGTTGGAAAATACAGTAATCATCCCTAGAAAATTCATAGAATACTTATTGAATTAAAGTTTCTTTATAGACCAATTCCCTATTTCTTAGGTATATTTTTGCTTCATTTTACTTTTCTGCGGAATTGTAGTCTAAACAGGCCCAAAGTATATGTTAACCGGAGAGCAGACATGTTAAAGACCTAGCTAACTGGCCAATAAATGTGTTAAACATAGTAAATGTCATCTCATTTATTCTGAACCATGAACTTGACATCTGAAAATGCTGAGGCACAGCACATAAACAGAGAACAAAGAACCCTCACTTTAGTCAGTTCCTCTCTCTTCCTTACTTTCTTCTTTTAAGGAAGAAAAAAAGCTAAGGGACTCTTTTAACTTAGAGGAAAATGAGAGTTAATTTAAATATTCAAGTGCTCAGAGAACTACAAAAAGTAAATCTCCCATTGATATTTTCTTCAAAGAAAAGTTGCCCAGTTCAGTAGCTACACCCTATACACATACTCTCCAGCAGCCCAATGTTCCCTTCCTAAAGGCTTATTAGGATTTCTTGGTAAAATCAGACCCAGAACTTCCCTGTTTGCCAAGCTTAAGGATATTGGTTTGATTTTATTAAGGGAAATGAGAGTTTCCTTAGAGAAGAGAAAATATTTAGAACAGTCAGACAGAAGTCCAGAAATCCCTCTCCACTTGCCATTCTCCTCCTCAATAACAAGTATTATTCAATAACTTGATGAGAAAAGGGAGACCACTGAGAACTTTGTGTCTGTTTCTTCTTGCAACAGGGAATTAAAAATAAAGAAGGAAAAAAAACAGAAAGGGGAGGGATGATCAGCAGGTTGCTAAGGAATGGAAGGGGACTAAGGTCCAGACACTCGACTAGCTGCCAGTCTTGCAGGGTAACTAATCCCAGAGAAGCCAGTTTTAGGTGCTCCAGTAATAACCAGGACTATACACAATTATGGCTTGACATGACCCTCTCACTTTTAGAGAAGCCAACAATAAAATGGAATTTGAAAAATATAATCTTAACATGACCTCAAGTCACAAAGTCTAATATAAATGGGGAAACCTTTGTTTAACGAACCTGCATAAACAGCAGCTGACTGTTGTAAAGATTGAATCTGTCCACGACTGCATCCATACTTCTGATTAATTTCCTTTAAGGGAACTTCACTTATTAAATCCAATAGCACAAGACTGGTAAAAAACCTGGAATGTAAAACAACAAAAGTATGGTAAGAGGTTACTTACATCTACTATAAAAGTGTGACATTTGTTGTGAAACAAGAACCAAAATGGCAAGAGAGAGTTTATACACCAAGAAGATTCCTAATAAGATACAGGATTAGACAAGGGTCAAAGCCTATAAAGTAAGTTCTGATATATATTAGTACCATAGCAAAGAGCTAATATCTGTTTAACAAAAGTATTTCCTCCATATTTCAATACTGCTACTTTATTTCAAGAAGTAAATTGGTTCAAGAAATGTGATGGAACAAGAACTTTGAGGAATACTTCATACAGTTACATGATCATCTAATCATATTTCAATAAAATGACAGAATTTGATAAAAAATATTTTGAAATGAAAGGCAATAGTGCCACAAATAATACAAGTACATAAATCCTTATGAGATTTATACTTGACTATTTTGTAAATAATACATTAGAGACTAATGTTTTTTAAAAAAAATTATTATATTCCAATGAAGCTAAAAGCCTGTGCAATTACCCCATCTGAAACTTTTCATTAGCTTTTCCCCACTAGTAATGAATCACGTCTAAGAATGATACAAAGTATATCCTCAAGTGAAGCCACATGAGTTGGCAGTTCTGATTCACATCTTTAGGAAAGGAAGCAATTAAATGTTGTACTTTAAAAGGTCTTCATACATAATGGCCCTAAACTATAAGCAGCAAAGAAGAAACTAAAATATCAAAATAGTCAGTAAATAGGAGGATGAAAATATTTACTAAGTAAAAACTTTTAATGAGAATTTAAGTAACTACAATAAAAAGGACATTTGCTGTATATCCAATATGGTTTTAAGTACCAGAAAGTCCAGGCTCCCCGATATTCATTCATTTACCTTCTGTGGATGGCCATTTGTCGGTGCTGTCTCTCGGTTCTGGCTACCACTTTCCCTTTCACACAGCGAGCCAAGAACCCTTCTTCAACTCCCACTAGCTCTGCCACCCGTTTCATAGAAGTTGGCAGCTTCTCCCATAAACAGAAAAATCGATACCAATCAATAATAGTCCAATCTTCAAACATAGGTGTAACCTAAAGGAAAGAAGCATCATTCATTAACTAAAACTACTGCATTACAAAAGGAACAAAAATATAAAATTCATATTAAAAACAAAGGCCTTGGCGTTTGGAAAATTTCTGTGAGATGATACCTCATTTATATGAAAACTTCATTTATTCACAAACAACTCAGAGCCAAGGCAAAATGAGGAGACCACTAAGCACACAAACTGGATTTTACGTAATGTAAGAACTTTAATCACAGACACTTTTACTTTCAATATTGACATTAAGTATAATCTTAAAGTTTTTATTTTGATTTCCAAGAAAGAAACAGGAAATAGAAAGAGGAAGGAGGGAAAGGAGGAATCAATATTCACAGTTGCTAGGTTATCTAGAATGTTCAGGATTCAACAACAACAAAAAACCATGAGATGCACAAAGAAACAGGAAAGTATGTCCCAAACACAAGGAGAAAAACCAACAAAAGAAAACTTTGGGGGCTTCCAAACATTGTAAATATCAGAGAAAGAATTCAAAGCAGATATTATAAATATGTCAGAGAACAAAAGAAAACCAGGCTTAATGATGAAGGAAGGTATGATGACAATAGCTCATCAGGTACAGAATATGAGCAAAGAGAAAGAAATTGTAAAAAAAAGGACTAAATGCAAATCAGAGTGGACAAGTACAATAACTGAAATTGAAAAACTCACTGAAGAGCTCAATAGTAGATACAAGTTGGCGGAAGAAAGAATCAACGAAGATCAACAGAGATCATGCAATCTGAGAAGGTAAAAAAGGAAGAAAAAGGAACAGAACCTCAGAGAACTCTGAGAAGCATCAAGTGCAGCAACATATGCATAATGAGGAGACCAGTAGACAGGAAAAGCATTTGAATAAATTATGGCTAAAAGCTCTCCAAATTTGATGAAAAAAACATATCCAAGAGAATAAATGAACTCCAAGTAGGAAAAATGCAAAAAGATCTCCACCCAGATGCATGAGTCAAAATGCAAAAAATCAAAAAAAAATTTTTTGAAAACAGCAAAACAATTCATCATGTATCAGTAATGAATGCTGAAACCTATTAAGATTTAACAGCTAACTTCTCATCAAAAACAGTGGAGACCAGAATGCAGTGAAATGACATCTTCAAACCATTGAAAGAAAAAAAACTGTCAACTAATAATCTTATATAAAGGAAAACTATCTTTTTAAAATAAAGGTATAAAGATATTACCAGATAATCAAAAACTGAGAAAATTTATTGCTAGCAGATCTGCCTTACAAGAAATATTAAAGAAAACTCTTCAAGTTGAAAGTAGTGACCCAAAACAGTATTTTAATCCCACACAAAAAACATAATTATGTAGGTACTTATAAAGACAGTATTATTGCATTTTCTCCTCCTTTCTTCTCTTGACTGATTTAAAAAGCAACTGTATAAAACATATAAACAATTATATGTTTAAAACATATAAAAATATAATATGTTTAATAATAACAGCACAAAGAAGGCAGATGGGACCTCTGGAAATAAACCTCATTTAAAATGAACTCAAGAAGCCCTGAAGGGGGAGCTCTTACACATGAATCACCTGTTGCAGCCACACAGCCAGCAGGTAGAAGGAAAATAACAATTACTGTAACAAGAGAGGGCACTTTTCACATAGGAATTTTATCTCATACCTTTAAGAAAAGGAATGAAGATCCCTCCCTGCCCCAGCAACAATGCACTAACCACCACCTGAAGCCTCTGAGAAACTGCCACAACCTCAAACTCTTGCTCTCTCCTAATAAACACTTATTCAAAACAACTCTCTCAAATTTCCTCCGAAGACCTAATAAAAACTGATTGTCCCTTTGTCTCTTTGGACTTGCCTACTGTTCACCATAGCTGGCTTGTCCCATATTACAATTCCTCTGCTACTCCTGAATAAACTCATTTTTTATGTGAATAAATTTCTTTTGCTCCGTTTAAAGTTAACAGAGCAAAGCTGTATTGTAGTAAGGAAATGACAAGAAAAAGTAAAATCCATAGGAGCAAATAAAGAAAAACATAAATCTTAAAAAGAATGCTAATGTAACAAACTCTATAAATAGACAGATGCTGTCTTTTCTTCTCTCAGCTTCTTTAAAGACATAAAATTATATAAAACAATACCAATGTACCACTGGGTTTGTAACACATATAGATGTTACATGTATAATAGGAATAGCACACACACACACACACACACACACACACACACACACAAAGGAATATACCTTTATAAGAATAATATTTGTATGTTTCACTAGAATAAAGTTAGAATAAAGTTGGTATGAATGTAAGGTGTTATTCAATAACCCCTTGAGTAACCACTGGGAAAATAACCCCAAAAATATAGAGAAGAATCAATTGAAGAAATCAAAATGTTATACTAGAAAATATTCACTTATTTCAAAAGAAATCAGTAAAAGAAGTACACAGGAACAAAAAGACATGAAATAAATAGAAAATAAGACACAACTTGGAAGATGTAAACCCAACTATATCAATAACATTAAATGTGACTGGGTTAAATAATCTAATCAAAGACAGAGACTGACAAACTGGATTTAAAAAACAGAATCCACCTATATGCTGTTTATACGAGAAATATTATAGACAAACTATAACATATATATGTTATAACATCAAACTATAACATCAAAACCACAAATTGGTTAGAAGCAAAAGGAAGGGAAAATATCATGCAAACCACAACTATAACAAAGCTAGAGTGGCTATACTAATATCAGATAAAATACTTTTTAAGGAATGTTAATAGAGATAAGATGAATATTTAATAATGATAAAAGGATCAATCCAGCAAGTAGACATAACAGTTGTGAGTATATACAGGGCACTGAAATACACGAACACTACTTGACAGAAATGAACAGAGAAATAGACAATTCAAAAATAATAGTTGAAGACTTAATACTTCCACTTTCAACAATGGGTAGAATAACTAAGCAGAAGATCACAGGGAAACAGAAGACAAAAGCAACATTCTAAATCAACTAAACCTAGCAGATATCTATAGAACTCCACCCAACAACAGCAGGATTTACAAGGAACATTCTCCAGGACAGACCATATGACAGGCAATAAAGCAAACCTCAATTAATATAAAAGGATTCAAACTACATGAAGTATGTTTTCCAGCAATGAAATAAAATTAGAAATAAGTAACAAAACATTTTTGTAACCCACAGTGTGGAAAGTAAATACGACACCACTAAATAACAATGGTTGAGAGAAGAAATCAAAGTAGAAAAGTGAAATAAGTCAGAGAAAGACAAATGCTGTATGATTTCTTTTATACGTGGAATCTAAAAAACAAAACAAATGAGCAAACAAACAAAACAGAAGTAGACTTACATACACAGAGAGCAGACTGATGGTTGTCATAGTAGAGGCAGGTGGTAGGATGCATAAAATAGATGAAGGGTACAGACCTTCGATTATAAAATGAATGAGTTACGGGGATGAAAGTACAGCATAGGAAATATATTCAGTAATACTGAAATATCTTTGTATGTTGACAGATGGCAACTACATTTATAGTGTGTACTCAGTAATTTAATTGTTGAATCCCTATGTTGTACATGTGAAACCAATATAATATTGCATATCAACTATATTTCAATTAAGAAAAATACTGAACCTGTAGCTTGTTATCTGATACCAATCTCGGTTTCTTTAAAATTAAAGAAAAAAAAAAACTAAGGACACTTTTCAAGAGTATAATGTCTTAAACTTTGCCTACTTTAAAAATTTTTTACTGTAGCAAGTTCAGTAAATCATACTACTTATTTTGTGGCCCAACATTGTCAATGCTTTGTTCAAGGTTACCTCATTGCTTGATTGATTGGCATAAATACCTGTTCCCTAATCTCATGTTTCTCTCCATTCAAATGTGTTTAATGTAACGGCAACCATTCCAATGTGTTTCAAAGTATATAATTTTTGTTGTATGCATTCTTGTAAAATGTATATTATTTGTATACCATATTATAAATGTAGTATAAATTGGGAAAAAAACACAAAACTGATAAAAGTACCTTGAAATGAATGAAAATGAAAAATGAAAACAACATACTAAAACTTATGGGATGTAGTAAAAGTAGTGTTTTTAGGGAAACATAGCTATAAATGCCTATCTTACAAAAGAAAAAAGATCTCAAGTCAATATTCTCATCTTCAACCTTAAGGCACTGCAAATAGAAGGGTAAACACAAACATGGAAGAAAAAATAAAGAGCAGAAATTAATGAAATAGTAAAATTATAGAGGGAAAGCAACTAAACCAAATAGATTCTGTTTAAATGTAAACTGAGGCACATTAACATTTTTTTAGGAGTTTATTTGAACATACACTGATTCAAATTTGGGCACTACCAAACCCAAGGCAGTTAGGAGCCCTCCACTAACAGAAGCTGAGGTTAAAGTTTTTATAGAGAAGATGCTGAAGCAAAGCAAAGCAATCATTTGATTGGTTACAGATTAAACACTTGCCATAATTTGTTAAGCCTAGTCAGCTATTTGTAATAGGTTGTTTTCAAATTTCACTTTTTCAGATTCCAGTGCATTGACTCTGGGTTATATTTTGGCTTGCTTACAGTGCTACCAAGACATTAGAGCTGCCTCAGTCTAATGGCTCCCTGTTTAATACTTCAACAGTTCTTTGAGAAGACCAACAAAGTTGAAAAACCTATACTAGATTGATGAAGAAATAGAAAAGAAAGAAGAGTAGAAAAGAGGACACTATTCCTGACCTTACTGAAATAAAAAGGATTAAAGGAAATGTTTACTATGAACAACTGAATACCAATAAATTAGATAACCTAAATGAATAAATTCCTGGAAAGACACAAACTAGCAAAACTGATTCAAGAAAAAATAGGAAACATGAATAAACCTATAATAAGCAAAGAGATTAAATTAATAATAAAAAAATTTACTCCAAAGAAAAGTTCAGGCCCAAATGACTGGTGAAATCT